AAACCAGCAGTTCAAGCACTAATTACGGAGTTTCAATTTAACCCCTATTAGTAGCTACATTAGGTCAACGTTACTTCGGTAATAAACATTGTCTCACTTTTAGAACATTCAGAACATTCTGGAATGTTTGGTAACTGCATAAATAAAACAATATGACTTTTAAACAACCACAAATTCGTTTTCTAAATAACGTAATATTATAATAGGTACATAATTATAATTAAATAAAACAAAACAATAATAAAGACTAAACAACATTTAACAAATATTTGTAAAAACAGAACTATGTAAATAATGATTAATTCATAATACAAAATTAATAATTGTATAGCTGTCACAGATTAACAATCATGCAGCCCGGCTATACTCAACCTGCGACCCACCTGGTTTTTTTGATTGGCCCATAAAGTTCCTATGCTTTGTTCTATTTTTAATTTCGCGCCAATAAGAGAACGTGTGATTCGGGAGTTAAAAGACAAAAACCTAGTTAAGAAATTACTTGTATTTTTTTTTTAAATGAATAGGTACATTTTTACCGACGTCAAAAAAAGGAGGTACTATGTTCGGATGTTCTTTTTTTGTTTTGACCTTTGATTTATGTTTTATTTATGACTTAATCATTTCTCAGTTACACCCTACAATCCCATGGCTGAAACTGATTTTGGCCCTAAGTCAAAAACAGGTTGAGTATAGCTGATGTAACCCCAACATGGCCAACATTTATAAATGCTTACTGAGCAATGGCACAAAAATACTAAAATAACAACATATAACTTTATCTAACGATACAAAAACAAGCAAAATATTAAAATTACTTCATACAATATTTATTAAATTGTACAATTTTCTTGTTCATAAATGCAACACTTGTTTACTACTACCAGTTTTAATTGGCTTTGAGTATCCTTGATATGTATGTAACAATTACTCAACTTTCTACATTTTTTTGGTTTAATTTTGATACTTAGCCTAATTTGATGTAATTTTTCTTCTATTATAAACACAACATACTAACATAATTTTTAATTATATTATTTTTTTTCTTATTTTCAAAGTCCCAGCAAATTCAAGTGACTAAATCAAAACCAGACTGTAAATAAACTTGATTTACTGGAAAATATGTTAATTTGATATTGCAACATTTTTATTATTCCAGGTCAGACATCAGAGTATACTTAATCTCAGTGTACTCTTCAGCACCATGCATACTGCCCTCTCGACCAATTCCTGACTCTTTAATGCCACCGAATGGTGCTTCAGCAGTAGACAGTAAGCCGTCATTGATAGCAACCATCCCAAATTCCAGATCCCTTGACATTCTAAATGCTTGTCCGAGATCTTTAGTAAAGACATATGCAGCCAGACCACTGTTTGTGTTGTTAGCAATTTCTAAAGCTTCCTTCTCACTCTTTATCTTCACGATAGTTGCAATTGGCCCAAAGACTTCTTCATTAAACACTTTCATATCGGGTGTAACATTATCTATAAGTGTTGATTGAAAGTACTTTGAACCAAGATCGGCCGCAATCTTGCCCCCAGTCAAAACTCTTGCCCCTTTTTGTGTTGCATCTGCTACAAACCCAGCAACCTTGTTTACCTGCTCAGCATTAACAAGGGGCCCACATGTGACTCCTTCTTTTGTCCCCGGTCCTAATATGCAATGAGTTTGAATGCGTTCTTTGAAACCCTCAATAAATTGGTCATAAATATCTTCATGTATTAGGAATCTATTAGCACCAACACATGCTTGCCCGTTGTTCCTGAATTTAGCAAGCATTGCTTGATCCAAAGCACGGTTCATGTCAGCACTCGGAAAGACAATAAAAGGAGCATTTCCTCCTAATTCAAGAGATACCCTTTTAATTCCTTTTGCTGCAAGTCCATACAGCAATTTGCCAACATGAGTAGATCCAGTGAATGAAATGCACCTGACACGAGAATCCTCACACATCTGTTTCCCAACATCTGCAGCATTTTTCCTGCTACAGGTGACAACATTTATCACTCCCTTTGGTACTCCAGCTTTTTCTGCCAGCTCAACGGCTGCTAATGCAGATAGAGGTGTGTCTTCAGCAGGTTTGATTACACAAGTGCATCCAGCAGCCATCAAAGCTCCAACTTTTCTTGTGATCATAGCAAAAGGAAAGTTCCATGGAGTAATAACGGAAACCACACCAAGTGGTTGTCTGGAAGCCAATATACGTTTGTTGGGCCATGGACCAGATAAAATCTCTCCATTGATATGACGAGCACAATCAGCAAACCACTCCAAAAAGGAATTGCCGTAAGCTACTTCACCTTTAGCTTCTGATAATGGTTTTCCACTTTCAGCAGTTACAATGGCGGCTAGATCATCAGTGTGTGCTTCAACCACTTCATACCACTTCCTTATTATCTTGGAGCGTTCTTTTGCTGTATACGACTTCCAGGTCTGGAAAGCGTCAGATGCTGCGTCGAGAGCTTTTTTAGCATCCGGAGCTGTCATATCCGGCACTGATGCTATGACAGAATCATCGGCAGGGTTGAGCACACTGAATTCTTGCCCACTTGCTGCACCCACCCATTTGCCCTCAACATACGCTTTATTTTTTAATAAATGCATATTTCTATGTAAAGGTCTGTAGGCTATTAAAGCTCTCCGAAAACTGAAGCGAATTAACTCCATTGCCAACAATAACAATGGGTATTTATGTGATAATGTTATCTAATTTACACCTTATCGCTGACCTCGCTATGAAAAACACTTTACAACTATACTTTATTATTAGTAAGTCTTGTTTATGGAAGACTCAGTTAGGAACTTTGAATCCAATTCTCACGTAATTTACTGCTTGTATTCTATTTGACACATCGCTTCCAGTTTCTCATTCCATTCACGTCGTCCGAAGTTTTGAATTGACTTTGACATTTGGTTTAATCTGACAGTTACGTTATGTTACATGCATCGGTTCCAAACAAACTGTGAAACAAGAGCATAGAAAAGAAAACGACTCTAAAACAAAACAATAAATATAACCGTTTTTAAAACGACTTTTGCATTCCATTACATAAATAAATAGTAAAAATGGTAAAAACATAAAATAAGTGACATAAATTAAGTAATCATTAAGGTGAATCAAGTACATAGCCCGCGAAATTTAAATTTTTAGCAACGTATAGCTCGATATCTGACGATGAAACATATATTTGTGATAATGATAAGTACATATTAAATACTTGATAAAACCACATAAAATTATCAACATAGGTAACTCTGCAATATAGAGGTGTCAAATGTATCATGTTGTACAAGTTTGTGACCAAGTGTGACTGTTAGGTATCGTGTAAAGTAAATAAAGGATACCGCGGATACATGTTATTAAATAAACATTTGGTTTTTAGATACTTTTATTTCTCATTGACAATACAACAACAAACTTATTAATTTATAATATAAGCAACAATATTATAATTATTTAATTTTATAGGATAGGAATGAAATGTTTAGTGCGTGGCAATTTCATAATTATAACTTACAGACTCCTCCGCTTTTAACTGGAAATGCCATGTAAGATAAAATGTATCTAATGGACATTGAATACATCAGTCGTAATTTTATGAATAAACGAGGGAAACAATGTCTACCTAAATAATTTTTATCCGGCTGTAAAATACAGGAAAGATATTTCATAATAATATTTCTATGGTTGGTTCCTAATATGGCAAAATTAGAATTCAAAATTGTCCTGGAAAACCAAAGTTACGCTAAATCGATTCAATGTCATTTGGTATTAACGCCATCTGGTTTAATATTGAAGAACTTTTTTTCAGGTATATTTTTTTGCTGAAACTGGTGGCACATGTAACAAGACTATTGTACCTTCATTAATGTACATACAAACTCTTACTTTTAAGCTCAACTCAAAAACTCTTACTTAATTTATATACAAAATCATCAAAGATTTGACTATTAGATAAAGAATTTGATTACGACTATTACCTGAACGGTTACCTGAATTCATAAATAAATTTAATTTGCTTCGAAGTCATTTGTCTGAATTATAGGACATTCTAATTTCTGTACTTTTTTAAATATAATTAATAGACTTTTTTATCATACAATAATTTTTACAATGGCAACAGAATACAGATAAGTAAGGTATGGACACGAACGATTTACGACAAGGAACGATTTAAATTAATTGATGAAATGTTGGCACTTAGCACCTACATATTACCTAATGTACAAAAGTAAATAAGTACGTTTTTACACAAGTACAATATTTTAAGGACATGTAATTTAACTCGTCGAGTACCGTCATTATAGAGGTATAGAACAATAGGTTGCGGTCACCGGTGACCGCTTGGTGTTTGTCAGTTTAAATGACGTAAAACCTTAACAATTAATATTACAAATGCCTCGTTATTTAGTTTTAAAACTTGATAAATAAATAAATAATTATAATTACAAATCTTAAATACTTGTTTGTAAATGAATGTACAGAAATGCGCGCTTAACTTCAATGATTATAAATAGATAGTATTTTGTTCAATAAATATGTGGATGGTATTCTTTTTATTTTTTCACAACACTTCTTTGACTTGAATAAGAACAAACAACAGCACATCAAATTGCCCTTCTTGTAACTAATCTAGGAAAAAATATAAGCGACAAAATAAATATCGTGAGACATTCTAAAAATCGCGGATTACTCGCATAATATACTGCGAAAAGCTCTACTAATTTCGATCAACATCAACAGAGGGGTTCTTCCTCATGAGCAGCGGTCGCGTCGATGTCTCGCAGCCTACTGCTTGCTGGTGGCTAGCGTTGGCGCTCGCATCGGTGTTGTGTTGCTACATGCACTGCGAGCCCACCGTGCCCTCTACCGGACACCACGACCGTTTGCGTCCAACTCAGTTCTTAGTTGGCGGCGGGTTGGACGATGTTGAAGCGCACGGTATGTTCACCAGCGGCGCGGGTAGTGGGGTCGATTCCGGGTGGGGCACAAAGTCAGTGGTAGGTACATAACGCTTGTGTCGCACTTCGAAGCTAGTAGAGCTTTTCTCATTATATTCACGTGAGTAACCCGCGATTTTTAGTTAATTTAGTTCATGGACAAAATAATATTTCTCAGCCTGAGCGCACTCACCGGGCACATGCAATATCACGAACTTAAAGAAAAGGTTTAAATAGAGTGTAGTAACTATAGAAACTTTAAATTGTCGTCTTTTTTTGATGACATAAAACTATTGGGTACTTAAAATAATCAAGATGGTACAAACTCAGTTCATAGAAGTAGTATCTAGTCTTAGCAGAAGTACGGCAGACAGGGGTTGGGCTTACGGCCTGCGGGCTATGACCTACGGCGCAGTCCGGTCGTAGCCATATGCCGGTCGTAGACCCTCGGCAATTCTGAAGAATTCGGGTTAGTTTGATGTGCTGTGCATGTACATAATGTTACTTATTATAATAAAATGTATTACAGGCTAAACTTAAGGGTAGGCACCGCGTTCATCTCTAGATATTTTTGCCATCCACACCGCACCTGCTACCGCCAATGCCTGAAAGCATAATGATACATATGAAGCACCTCAACAGGGTATACAGGACAGCACAAATACAAATTCGGACTTTAACTGATACTTATCAAAAAAATTAATATTTCTTCTCATCGGTTCTTTAGGTTAGACCAACTATCTAACTCTTTGTTTTCTGTCATTGTCCACATCACCTCATCACCAGGTAATCATCATCATCATCAATCATCAACAGATAAATGCCCATTGCTGAGCAAAGCCTCTTCTCACACGATAAGGTTTGAGCATTAATCACCACGCTTGCTCAATACGGGTTGGTGATTTCAAACTTATAACTAGAAATTATTAGCCCAGGTTTCCTCACGGTGTTTTCTTCACCATTGGTCATGTGGTGTTTGAATAATCTTCGAAAGTACATATAACTCGGAAAAAGTTACATTGGTACTTGCCGTTGGTAGGTTTCGAACCCTCATGCATGAGAAGGCCATCACAACACTCAGTTTGTGGCCAAGCGTAAGTATTTTGCCCATTACTAACCTGCATGAAAACTAAGAATATCCCAGCTACGCCAATAGCGCCAGCATGAGACCGAACCCAACTACCGAAGGAGTCAGAGCAGCCAGTAGTGTAGGCTGACTGCATGCCAATGTTACAGTTGAGGACAGCCACGATGCCATAGTTCTGACTGCAACAGCTGACTGGCAAACCGTTAGTGTCAGTTGTACCCAGAGGGATCAACCATTGGCTGGCATTGAGGACGCCACAGCACTGGAACTGGAAGGTTAAATTACTTAGATTATTATTTTGACATTATCTTCTCTTTACACTTGCGGTTTCGGATTCAAGACAAATATTAAAGCATTGTGGGTGACCGTGGTTTGTGTTTTATTAAGAATGTGACAGACCTAGACGACACCATCACTTTCAAAGAAAAAAGTAAGAGTAATCTTATTCCTCTTTATTAGCCTATCCTTATTTGAGGGGGTAGATCATCGAGCCTATCACCTTCACTGAGGCGAGAAGGAGTGTCGAACTCTTGACTTGAACTGACAAAAAACCACCCTGTTCTTACTCCTACTTCGAGCCGGAGCACCGGTAACCCGTTATATGTGGCCCAGTGTTTTATCCTATTGTTAAATTGCTATTCGTAGCAGTATCTATAGCTTCAGTCATCAACAGTCTGTTTTCCTTTATTACTGTACTCTGCTCCTCTTCAATGGCACGCCACGGAGCTCGATCTTTCAGGTCTACGTATCTAACCACTACCAGCCACTTTACGTATATCGTCACTCCACCTAGCTGGACGCGCGCCTTACACTACGTTTGCCTTCAGCTTCAGCTTCAGTATGTATCAGTAGTTACTTACATCTTGTTGCACAGTGTCCCACAGCTTAGTGACTTCAATGCTCTTGTTGAGACCGTACATGTCCATGGTCTCCAGCAGTTTGTGCTGCACCAGGGACACGGCGTTACCCTTCAGCGCATACCCAGCGATGCAGGCAGACAGTTGGAAGATGAACATCAGGATCATAGCACCCGCGAACTGGAATGTAATCGAATTAAGTCATTATTATTGGATTTTCTCATTGCTTAGTGATAATTTTGATACGGCACTTTATGTGTAGGTACTTGGCACTTTGTTTGTTTATTTTTTCATTACCAAAATACATTTAAGTAATAGGGCAGATGTCTAATTTTTATTTTAACGTCCGTCTGGTATTATTTTAAATTAGACACGTATTTTTTATTTTCTTACAGAAACGAATACTTTCGACGATATATTGATTTGAAATGTCGCGTGACGTCACTTTTATGTACATTTTATACGTAGAAGAAATGACATTTTAGCCCCCACTTCTAAACTTTGATTCGTTTTATCTAAGTATATTATACGACATATATAAGTTTTATTATACGACAAAATAAAAAATACGTGTCTAATATTTTTTCATTACCTAACTGACGGATTAATTACATTTTTCATTTTCATACCCCGTCATCATCCTAATTGGTATAATTTAAAATGAATTATAGTTTGGTTCTAAAGATTATATCAACTACTAGTTATTAAATCTATTCAATCTATTGTAGATAAAAAACACAACATTCCCTTAATTTTCTTTTAATTGCTTCAAATGTCAAATGACGTAATGTAAAGTCGACCGAAATTTATCTTATTGAGGAATGCCTTTGGGGGTAGCTAAATAGTTTAAAATTATTAATACATATTTAGCCAATATGAAGATTTTAAGTATCAACTAGGTCGCTCTATATTTTCTGCTTATCTATCCACATTAGACAAAACGATGAGATTATATGTATGTTAAAAATAACAGCCGAACCCAGCATAATCACTGGAAACAAAAGAATTAAGTCCACTTAAAAACTATATCTTATCTATTTTTAACTAACGGCGTAGCCATACCAGTGCCGTAACGCATCGCTACACAAATACCATTGACAATGGTAGGTGTGTTGCGAGAAATATCTAAAAGTTGACTGTTTTAAAAACTTATTTACAGTCTCATCATTAACTCCACAATCAACTGCGCAATTATCTACCAGTGGCGAGTAGAAAACATTCGTCCCCACCTCGACTCATTTCAGAAAATCATATTGGAAAATTCCTATTGATATTTTGTAAAACTTGAATGGCTAATTTCTGAACTTGTCATCAAATTAGGGCTCACGAGAATCCATCAGATTGATTTTATCAGTTTTGCAGTGGCCCTTGGGCAGTCTACAAATGCTAGTCTTTTTCTTTTTCCGTCTCCGTGACCAAATATTAGTACTACATTGTTCTCATATTATTGAACTCAACGAAAGAATGTAACCAAAAATTGTATTGTGAACATGATTGAAAAAGAGTAACCTATGGAGTTTCTTGCTCGTTGTTCTCCATATAGGAATCCATACTTTGGAACGAGCAATTAGCTTCACTAGAGGACTGACCTACAGACTGACATTTTTTCTTATTATTTAATATTTAAATATTTTGTTTTGACGTTCACAAGTGCCTTCCTGGTCTAATTGAAATAAATGATTTGACTTTGATTTTGACTTAGACTTTCATTGGATATTTATTAATTTCGCTTATCATTATTCTCAATATAATAACTAAAACTCTTAATTCTAATAATTGTCCATGAATTGCGTTGCGAACATGCAAAAGGTACTTGAAAATGATAAGAGTTTCGCGAAACTGGCACAAAGGAAACAATAAGGTACTACTTACGTTGAGATCAGTTGAGATATTGTCTATGAATCATCAAATTTTCTTAATACGTAATACTTACTATATAATATTAAACTGAGAAAGCCTCATGCCTACATTTCTTTAATTCTTACAGACACATTTCTTTAATTTCCGAATGACTACCTATGCAGCGTTATACTTAATCTATCTAACACCACTACCACTCTAGTACCTAATATTCCAAGTCACAATATTGCAGTCCCGCACTTGAGCTGCTGATATTTTTTTTATTGAGTTTAAACATCGATGTAGATAATTCGCACAAACAATCAGTTGTAGACTCAGACTTCCTAATTAAGCGACATTTTGACACGATACGTGTCATCATATTACTCGTAGCTAATTGGTAGGTATTAAACTTTGGGGCACTGAAAAAACCTAATTCAGCACACTTGTACAATCGCAAGATAGGTATTTGTAGATCATGAACATTTATATTTTATCTCGCTATTATATTATCCTACTAGGTACAGCTGCAGCCGCTGTCAAAAAAATACCATCTGTTTTATTTAAATGATTCATCGATGCAAAAATATTATTGGTAAGCGCTATCGGTTACTGTAATGTAAAAAAATGAGTTTTTCAGGTGAAATGTAAATGTGCAAAGAAGCGTGGTTAAATGTTGTTTATTCTGTTAATCGATTGAAAAAGTTATGAAAAATATATACTAAGTAGTTGACATATGACTTTTTTTAAGGGGGGAAAATCATTGAATGACTTCTCCCGCCTGGGTGAGGCGGAAGGGAGTGTCAGACTCTTATTAGCTAAAAACTACCCCGTTCCTTCTTCTGCACTCCGAGCCGGAACCCGTTAGGTTCTCCGCCACTCCGAATCGGCATCAGTCCTATTGGGCCCCATCCGTGGTGGTCTGATGGCTCTTTGAGGCGCGCGCTTGACACACATGATTACGTGTAACATTCCCTTTGCGCCAATTTATATAAATATGTATTACTTAATCCCTCGTATACCACAAGGCTATTAGCATATCAGACTACTGACTCCTTAGAGATTTTTAAACATTCTTTCGAAGTTCAATTTGTCTTATCCTGGATTCAATATTAATGAGACACCCTTAACTAAATTCAGTCAATCTGCGAACAAACCTGTGACAGTAGATATGACGATTTATGACTAATTTATGCATTTTTTGACAAAAGAAAATAAAAGTTTCATGGTATTTCATACGTTTTAGGGTAATGTAAATAGTCTTATCAGTCCTTCTAATTTAGTACTTCTCGTATTTGATTCTAAAAGCTAAACAATCAACTGCGTTGTTTGCTTTAATTATCTCGAGAGATTAAGTAGCTCTGTTATAATTTATCACTACTGACATTTCTGTAAGACGTTCCTCCATATCTCGAATATAGGGCACTACGAACAAAAGGTAAACATCGAGCTAATTTTGTCTCCCAGGCCGAACTAGCATCAACAACGGACATTTTATGACAAACACGTTATATACCGACAAATAATGATGTAATTATCTCATGAACATCGTTGCCGTCACGATAATTGTGTTTACTTTCAAGCAGTGACGCAGCCTCGCAGAATATTAGCATTTCAATGATAATGGAGCCTCTAGCACAGAACAACAGTTGACATTGGTATCAACATGATTTATTACCTGAATCTGTACACAGCTACCAGTTTCTAGCAAATATAATTATGAAACACAATCAACACGGAACATTTCCGCGATATTTTCAAAGGGGGATCAATTAATACCGTCAATTATAAGACGTGAATCACGAAATTACAAATCAGAGTGCAGACGATGAGATAACAGGTTTCCACGGCCATCGAATGTTGTATAGATAGCAGGTACACTTACCGTCATGATCACTATGTAGTTCTCCATGTAGGCTCCATAGAATCCGAGGAATGCGACCAGAAAGATGATGATCCCAGTCGCAATGCAGAAAGCTGGTAGAGAGAAGAACCTCTCCGATAGAAACTGATGGTAACCATTGTAAGCTGACTGTACGGACGCGCCGACCGATAAAATTATAATACCAGTGATCTGTAAATATCACAAGCACTAATAATATCGAACTGTTCTATATAAGTTACAATAACTGAAACGCACACTGTTAAATACTTACCACGAATATGAAATTCACAATCACTAATAAATATTTGACCGTAGTAAACAGTTTCGACCACATTTTGTTACAATATATTCAAATAATTACGTGGATGTTCGCGTGACAACTTCTCTTCGCTAGTTTTTAACTTGGTACAGATATTTTTATCACTATAGGTAGGGACATTAATCTTGATAAGGAAAATAAACGGATTTATCTCATCTGAGACGAACGAACGTCGCGGCGTTCACTCAGGCTCGATGTATCAAACTGAATTACGGCGTACGGTTTAAAAATTTATTGAGAATTGTTCTTTAACGTTTACGATTATTGTGTTTATTTTTAGACACTTTTTGAATACTGTATTTGTTATTTTTGTATAGATAAATAAACTGCGCTACTTGGTACTGTGTGCACTATAGGTTTGCTGATAATTTACAAATGATAATAATAATTATGTTAATTTTAAACCGGCTCTAAGGAGTGAGCACTTTAACGGTTACGTTGCCACTTACTGATACGATAAGAAACACATACAGCATTTTACTATTTACTTTACTTACGTCATACACTGAACATTTTATTCTTGCTATGAAGGCGGGAAATGGCTTTTCCTACAGAAAGATAACGAATGAAACGCAGGAATTTAATTAAAAATTGATGCTTAAGCTACCGTCTCATTTACACGCATAGATCAATGGAGTGCGCAGAGATTATGGTATTTTTACGTAATAATATGTTACACATACCATCACGCTTTTTATCCCCGAAGGGGTAGGCAGAGGTGCACATTACGGCACTTAATGCAACTGTACAATGTAACACCCACTTTTCACTATTTATGTTAGAGTCTCATGTAATAGGGGGTGAGCCTATTGCCCTATACCGGGCACATTTCCGGACTCCGTGCTACTACTGAGATTTTTAAATAAACCAGTAAAATTTGCCTGACCGGTATCGAACCCGAGACACCTTGCCGAGAGACTGCCAATGAGGCAGAGGCAGTAAAATATGACATTTACCTAATCAAATAAGTATCTAAGTGAGTAAGTAGTTCCAAAATCTACCTTATTCTGATGTAGAAAGAGATTCTAGTTAGTAACTTGCCTGTGCCCAAGATAGGTTATTTTGCTGCATTACTCAATATCTCTCTCCTACTTTCCCGCTGAATTTGCCATGTTTTAAATATCAGACAAACCTTGTCCCGACAATAACAAAATCATCAAAAAGGGAAGTATCCAATTAGATGCAGTCATTCATGAATTATTTCATGTACATTAAATAAATTATGCACATTTTGGTCATCTATGTTTATTTCATAGATTAATTATGTTTATTATACAACTCTATATTCTCTATTAGACCTCTTCGCTTGTGTATTAAAAAAAAACAAATAGAATAAAACAACAACCAGGTTTTCATTATTTTATTAATAAGGCACTTAACTAAACTGATAAAGTATTGCACAATGTTACGTTAAACGGTACTTAATTGTTATAGTTATAATAATAATTAAAACATAGACTTGTAATAAAAATGTAAAATGTAGATTGTCATTATTCGTATGTAGTTATTTGTATCAGTGTGTAGTTTTGAAATTAGCAATTTCTTCTACAGTTCTTCGCAAGATACCTAATCTTAATTAACATAATTTTTGAAATCAGTTAAAAGTTAAATCAACATTTACAACACAAGTAACTAAATTTGTATTGTAAGTTTCGTGAGACATACTAAATAAATTACGACTGTCGCGCTGCTGCTAGTCGCCGCGTCGCGGGTCGCGAAATGCTGCTCATGAATATGAGCCTCTAGCATGGCTTGAAACTAGTCGAGCTCCTCGTCGAATTACTACGTGAGTAAGCCGAAAACATAATAATTTACAAGTAGGTAAGTATGAAAAGATTTTCAACACAATACATAGGCAGGTATCTACTGTACAATCAATCTATTGTTTGAAATCACAATGAAATATGTACCGAAAACGATCACAGAAATGCAATTGAGGCCTTATAAAGTATTTGAATCATTAGACCAATTCCATTTTGTCTCGAATATTTTAGATTATAACTATAATTAGCTGTCGTTAGAAGGCACTGTATAAACAATTTAAGGTAGCGCAGCGAGCTATGGAGAGGGCTATGCTCGGAGTATCTCTGAAGGATAGGATCCGTAACGAGGTGATCCGACAGAGAACTAAAGTTACCGATGTAGCCCAAAGGATTAGCAAGCTGAAATGGCAGTGGGCCGGTCACATTTGTCGAAGAACCGATGACCGATGGGGTAGACGTGTTCTGGAGTGGAGACCGCGTCTAGGCAAACGTAGTGTTGGGCGCCCTCCAGCTAGGTGGAGTGACGATATACGTAAAGTGGCTGGTAGTGGTTGGATGCGTAGAGCTGAAGACCGAGCTCAGTGGCGTGCCATTGGAGAGGCTTATGTCCAGCAGTGGAACTACTAAAACAGGCTGATAATGATGTATAGGTAAACAATAAACGTAGCTCTTAAAATCTAATCCTTACGTAAATTAGCTAACTTAATTAAGACTCCAACTCGACAACTTCAAACTTCGATCTGTAAGCCAAGTAGCCGCCCATTAGCGAAAGCAGTACCTGAAAATAAGGAATACACTTCTTTTATCAAATCTTGAAATATGTTACTTTACTAGGCTATCACTGCCAATAGAAAACTGTTGAAGGAAAGTCCTCTACTAACGTCGGTCATGTGACCCCCATGGCGTTTAACGTGTTAATGGAATAGTTCATATATTAAAAACGTTTCTTAACATGAAAGGTAGAAGGTTAGGAGGACCATTAGGTTATTGCTAAGGGGATGATAGTTAATTCTAAGTGTGGGAGAGCCATGCTTCGGCAACAATGGGCCGCCTTGACCGGAGTGATACCACGGCCTCACAGAAAACCGACGTGAAACAACGTTTGCGTTGTGTTTCGTCGTGTGGGTGAGGTTACCGGAGGCACAATTACCCCCTTCCCCCTTCCCCCAATCCCTGAATCCCCGTCAATCCTCAAATTCCTAATCCCAAAAGGCCAGTAACTCACTTGTAACGCCTTTGGTGTTACAAGTGTCCATGGAGGACGCCGATTGCTTACTATCAGGTGATACGACTGTTCGTTTACGGGCTTATCCCATAAAAAAAATAAGAAAAACTAGTTATTATAAAAAGAAAAACTATATTTATATTATAACTTTCGTGAGACATACTAAATTAATTATAATGTTTTTCGGCTAATATATAATATATATTTATAAACATAATTAAAAACTATATTCTATTATTTAGGTCACTTCTTAGCTACATGGAGTAACGATGGGCGAGGGCCTGAAGATGGAGCTCATGTAGCATGGTATTAAAGAAGGCTATATATATCTAGTCATGTAGGGAAAAGACCTGATGGTGATGATAATGCATCTGTAAGCGTAATCCCTAAAGGTTGACTAATTCATAGAAATCAAACGTGATAAGAAGTGACGCCATATGATAATTTCATAAAAAAGATGTAACTAATGCCTTTAATTATCTTTAAGTATACATATACCATAGCTTAATTTATTTGACGTCATGAAAACTATGATATTTTTTGCCGTCATTCTTAACAATATTATTCTGACGTCACTGAAGTCATTGTTTGTGTTTCCGAAAATTGTTAAGAGTGAGTCGCTGAATTTTTCGCAATACTACAACAAGCTGTAGTAGATAGATCTAGATAGGCAGTAATTATTTAAAACTGAGCACTGATACCGTTCTACGGCGAAGCTGTTTGAATGATCTTAATTAATTCAATTGACACGACTTAGATGGGCATCTACAATGTGAATTCATGAGTTTCGTGACGCATTTAGAGCTATAATTCATCCATTTGTTCAGAATACCTAGATTAATTTATGTACCTATGATGCTAGTCAACGTATATTTACTATTGTTTCGTGTGTAGTAAATAGAAGTAGGTAGGTATACTTAATTGTTCAACATTCTGTTGCTGAATGAAATCGAATCTAAAATTCTTAATGTTCTCGAAACAATAATAATTGTCTTTTAATCACTGAAATAGTCGGGCAAATTGCACAATTTGGAGCCAGTGGACCCAATCACCCAGTTGGTATCTATCTGTAAGTATATAGGAGTAATATTAATATTTCCTTTATTCTTCCCACTACACTACACTACACTGTCTTTAGACGACATCATATCACACAATAGGTATGTATGTATATGTGAACTTAACTTATATGTTTGTAGACGCACCCACGAAGCATAAGAAAATCATTGTTTTTTTTTTTAAAAAAGAAAGAACAATATATACTTTTACGTTATTCCTCAAAAAATTGACCTATATTTAGTCCATTACTCATCACACTACTTAAGAAAGAAACGTAATAAGTTACTAACATTACTGACCTGAATACAACAGAGGACGACAGCAGTTACAGCTATGACGTTAGTCTTGAAGGACAGCCATTCTGCGAGAGGAACCGCACACCCATCCGAGTACGCATTGCTTCCACATTCGAAGGGAGATATTGTGCCGTACTCTATGTAGCAGCATGAGATTGGGATCTGAGTTAGCTGGTAATCTCCTGGTCCTCCGACACCGCAGCATTTGAACTGAAACCAAAATAAGTAACCTGAATGTTCTCTCGTGGGAATGGGAGACCCATGGTTCGGTACTTTTGGCACTAAGGGGTCGGTTCGACGACAGGAATATCACAGCATCATAGAAAGCTCTCTTGAAACCAAACTTGCGTTTTGTTTCACTGTGTGATTAGAGTTGCCCCATCCCCAAATCCCATAACCCCCAATCTTTAAAAGATCATAATCGCTCTGGTAACTCCTCGGGCATTACTGGTTAACTCGATAGGGGATTGCTTACCATTAAGTGATACGACTGCTCGTTTGCAGCCCTCTGCATTAAAAGAAAAGATAGGTCCTACTTACATCCATTTGAAGATTATCCCAAAGCATATTGACGTTGATATTTGTTCCATACGTCAATCGGGACTGAGCCATTACCGGTCGGATCTCAGTCAGCACGTGTTTCGTGAGGTTGAAGGCAGTGATAATCATGGAGACTTCGAAGATCAGGACCACCAGGAGTAGCACCACATACTGTAAGATGGACTGGACTGATAATATTGAGGGTACATGCTGCAGTCAAGCAAATCTGACTTGATTTACTCAAGGAAATTGATTAAAATATAAGGTCAGCATTATGAGTAAACACTACTAAGATAATAACATCGAATTATGCAAACTACTATTAAATAGTTTACCCAACCCGGTAATTGAACCCAGACCCAGGTCATAAATACATTGAAAACAAATCATTTATCATCAGATCACATGATACAAAGTTACTTAGATAAGTTGATAATAATTACCCCAGCAACGAAGTAAAACTTTTGCGATATAGCGCTGTAGAATCCAAGAGCTGATCCCAGAATAATGATGACGCCGGTAGATATCACGAAGCTTGGTACATTGAAGAACCTTTGAGTGATAAGTGGTTCATACTGGGAGAATGACACCAATGCTGTTATACCCACGATGATCAGCACGAAGCCTGTCAGCTGGAAACAAATATCTTAATTCATTATTATCATCATCATACATGAAGATCACTTTTGCATTTCTTCATATGGAGATTTTACAGGACCAACGATCTCCTATTCGTCTGTTATGCATGGATAAAGATTATGAGGGGAGGTCCATATTTCATCTGTGGGCTATGGAGATTTGATTATGTGGTAGACCAATTAAACCAACACGGTAACCATATAAAGTAAGGAAAATAAATGCACAACTTCAAAACAAAATACTAAAACGTATTATAAAATTAATGAACAGGTAGATACATAATGACTTGGAATACCTTCCTAATTACTTTTTTTTATTCATAACCTGTCATTTGAATCAAGCGACCTTGTATGCATCTTACCTACGGTTACGTATGATACGTAGTAAATAGAATATTTTACACAAACACAACATTTGAATGCGGAGAACAAACAAAACAGGGTTGCCATTGCAGAAAAACACGTAAAACGTCTGAGGTACCCACTTTTGTTTGTTACGTATCTGTTTTTGGATCTATCTAAGTTAGAATAATGAACTTTAGTGAATGCAAACAAAAGAAAAAAGTTTGCACAAACAAACAAGTTTGCGATTTTTAAACTGCTTTCTCAACGATTTTTCAATTGGCAGCATTGTCTGTCTATCACTGGCTCTAGAGCCAGAAGTACATAAGTACTTTTCCAAAAAAATAAACTTAAAACTTTTTCCCTATTTTGATCCCTGAGTAAAACATAAACCTAGGTACCTAATCGTGGTTATATGCCTATCTTCAGTTACATTATCACAAGACAACCAAAACCAGTCACCAGTCCTCTAAATAAGATAAAACAGCTAGGTATAGTTATGTATCTCCGCGGAAAATTGACAATGACAGAATTCGAGGTCAACCCATCAAGATTTGAACTCACTCACCAAAAACACTCCATTTACAGCCGCTAACGAATATTTCACAGACTTCAAAACTTTGGGAACTTTAAAATCGAAATTGAAAGTCATTTTTACGAACTTGAAAACTTTTCAAAACCTGAACACATGTAGACATCAACCGAATCGGATAAGTATACTAAAAAATGAGATGCATTATCAATCATACACCAGCCAATATCATTGTTATCTTGACATATTCATCTTATCTCCGAAAATAGAAACTGTAAGTGTCAATATTCGAGGTATAATACATGTTATGGGGCAAACAGATTAGGTGAACAACACTCTATGTGTCATTGGGCGTAGCCAAGATTACGTTCAGGGTGAAGCGAAACTTAGTAAAGCAATGACTACGGAGTAGGTAATTACATATACTTAGATCCTTTTTAAAAGGCTGACAACGCACCTGGGATACTGACTCCTTTGGTGTTGAGGGTGTCCATGGGCGACGCTGATCGCTTACCATCAGGGGATCCGTCTGCTCGTTTGCCTGTTCAATACATAGTATAAAACAAAGTCACTTTCGCTGTATGTCCGTATGTATGCTTAGATCTTTAAAACTACGCAACGGATTTTGATGCGGTTTTCTTTAATAGATAGAGTGATTCTTAAGGAAGGTTTGTATGTATAATACATGCATATTGCACCCGTGCGAAGCCGGGGCGGGTCGCTAGTATTCCATAAAATAAACCTACGTACCTTACCTTTTACCTATGGGTATTGGCTAAGCCACATAAACCATAGGTATTTACTTTTTTTGGCCAATCGAATTAGGGATACGGTGTCCAGCAGCCGGTCGACCAGTCATTATGCTACATTGCTGGTCCAAAAAGTCTGGATTTGATTGAGCCAGATTGACTCGGTTTTTAGTTAAAGATCGCTTTTAGTTCTGTACCTCTCATGTATCATATTCCTGTTTTATATTCTTGTTCTTTTGATTTTACATAGCAACTGACCCCGTCCGTTATTGGACTAGTGGCAAACCCTCTTTTTCTTACAAAAAAGTAAGGTAGGTATAATCTTTCTAAGGATTTGCTACAGCAGTGACTAGTAAAATTACTGATCTAACAACTGAATAGTGAAAATAAATAACGAGCGCCTGACATATAACACATCGCAAAGGCTACTTTTGCTCTTTGTTGCTACTTTATTTAACACTGCAATGCTCTTATTAACACAATTCCTTTATGTACTTAAAATGGATAATCGATTTATTAGAAGTTGTTGTATCAATAAAATGTGTACCACACAATATTCACAAAAATCCTCTAAAAGCGATTCATTTTCATCTATTCACTTATTCAAAACGCCATCACTCGATACATTACCCACGTATTATGCTGGTAGAAAAAAATTAAGTTGTTTAATTAATTAATTATTGAACAATATTAAGTAACTGTTTTTAATCGAATACTAAACAAATAAAAAGTCGATTATTAATCGAATTAATATTTTTTACTATGGCAGGTCTTTTGTCTTTTCGTTTTCGTCTTCGTATTTTTAGCAGCTTGGCAACACAGACATTCGCTATTCTCGGCGTAATCGGACGTCGATTGCGTTGTATTGTTTTATCGCTCAAGATAAATTTTGGCGGTAAGCTTTGTTTTTATATTTTCGGTCTATAAATAAACGAGAAGTGTTATAACAGCTATTTATAAAAATCAACAAAGTATACGAAAAGATTGCGTTGTGAGTGCGACCCACCTGTCCCGTGAAGTGACAACATTCAACAAAAACTCAATCGATGTTTACCTTGCGCGACCGTATGGAGAAAGGAATTGAAATAAGTGTCTTTTGTTGCAGGTCTATTTTTTTAAAACTAGATTAGAAGACAAGATTTTAAAATGGCTATCGGTGCAGGAATGTCGTGTGTGAAATATCTGCTGTTTTGCTTCAATCTTTTGTTCGCGGTAAGCATTTTTTTCTTGAAGGCTGTATCTGTGCCCGTGTTGTTCACCTTCGATTTTTTTGAAGTTAAACGCTTGGGCTACTTTGTGCTGCAATGATAATGAATTTAATGATACACCTTACTGTTACAATACAGTTATTATGCAGTAGTTATACGAAATGTATGAAAATATGTTGTGCGAAATAAAACACTCATTTTACAATGTACCCTCACACCGTTATGTTATGATGACTCATTGGCTTTCAAACTGAGATTTACTTATTGCACAACTTTATTTATTTTACGAAATAACAAAATATATCATACTTACTACATAAAATTCTAAATCAATTTATCACCTAAATAATAAATATCAACCAATTACTACCCTTTAGAATAATGTTAGTGTATATAATAACAATAGATGTGTGACTTAGAAAGTCACAGCATTTTATTTTTCAGATAACATTTTAATAAACAAAATAAAAAGTTATTTTTAAAAATACAATGTTCTACATTTAAAATAACCAACTTTATTTTTCTGAGCTGCCAGTGCTACAATAACTATTTTTTTTCTAGATCACGGGTCTTATAATCCTGATTGTTGGCATCAAATCAGAGATTAATTCTTCTCCGTACATCAACCTGACTGATGAGAACTTCTACACATCAGGACCCATTGTCCTGATCATAGTTGGAGTGATTGTGTTCATTGTTGCCTTCTTCGGATGCTGCGGTGCTGTCAAGGAAAATCACTGTATGATAGTCACTGTAAGTACATTCATACTTTTTTATAACAATATTTATAACAAAAAAACATCACAAAAAGAGGTTTTTGTGATGTTTTTTTATCTATGGCTCGGAGGTATGAAACCTTTTTTGAGATCTTGTGAGTCAGTTTCTATGAAGTTAATACATTGTTAATTATTTTATTCACAGATTGATAAAGCTTTGTGAACTTTGTTATTATTGTTTTATCAAGTCAATTAATAGTCTTTCACCCATAATATTAACAGATTTCATTGCTTCAAATAACTTATTTAGAGCCATAGCTATGGTTCTGATAATCTGACTGTAATGGCAGATGTTAATTAATATAGGTAGAAGTTAATTGCCCGATGGGACTCCCTTAGGTCCCAAAGGTTTTGTACAAACAAAGAAATGCAATTTTTTTTCTATGAATTAATGTTCTATGTATACTTTAATTAAATCTGGAATTTATGTAGATGTTTAGCACTCTGTACATACAAATATAGGCGTAAAATGACGTCGCAGGAAATCCGGTGATTAACAATAGCGACAATCACGTCACAATATAGCTTCAGATTTAACAAGAGCAATAAAATATATTATTCATAAACTATTGATAATATTAAATCACTACAACCGGACTAGATTAAGTTTTATGCATAACTATGTATCCAAATTAGGTCATATGTATTGCATACCTATTACAAATAGTAATACTGAAATGATTTTTTAAACTGAACTTTATGTTTGACAAATAATCACGTGAGTTACTCCAAAAACAGAATATTTTGAGAGTCCACGCACCCTCAAAAACCCTCTATACAAAATCACAAAATTCTGCATCCACTCACCTAATCACTGGCAACAGAAAACCTTTACATAATTTACACGGCACTACAAAATATACCATCCCTTAAAAATTCAACCATGAGTAGCAAAATATCGATCGAGCGGTACCACCGCACCTATTGTTCTGCCAATACCATTAGCGGAACGAAAGGCGTGAAGGACAGCTCATAGGCAGATATGAGCTGACTTCCTACTCGTGCAACCGGATTCCGTATTATACAACGTTTTCTCTGTCTCGATTCTCGATTACTTGTAATCGATACTATCCTTGAACTATGCTAGTTTGTTCTCAAATGATCTCATTTAGATCTTAGTTGTTATTTGAAATTTGAAATTTAGAATACGTAGTGGCCAGTATTAAGAACTTCATTGTCGGTTGACCATAGATATAGCAACCATAGAGCAGATGTAAAACTCGTATGCCCTTTACAAAAAGTATCTTTAGTTTCTACACGCTATTTTCAAAATTCTGTGCTACTGAAAATGTTATTTTTTATAAATACTGTAATGGAATAGAATACTAAGAAGATAGTCACTAAAAAATATTCAAAGCCATATTAAAAATGTATAAAGGACACAAGTACTCATTCTTTATCTCTGTCATCTAAATAAAACTCCTTTTAACAAATTCCTCTCGTTCGAAGACCCGTCAACAAGTTCACTTGGTAAAAGTCCTAGCAGCAACAACCACACAGTATATAGAATTGTGTTAAAGTTACTTAAAATTCAAATCGTGGCGGCACTCACTTAGCTCGATACATACATTAAGCTACATAGAATGTTACATACTTCAACTTAATGTACTTAAGTACTTCTCCAACGTCGCTATGCTAGCCCGCATTTCTTTACAAGATACATTATCACAACGAATATCGATCTTCACCTGTATTCTACGTATATAAACGCCAGAATGTTAATAAACTTTAAAAATAAACTAAGAAAGGAATGTGTTTGTTAATCTTATAGTTAATAGTTTTTTAGTAATAGCTCAGTGTCTGGAATCTGGAATTTTATATAATGTAACGTAGTTCATACTCACGAAATGTGAGCGTGCTATTTTCCTCTGTCTATCTCTTCGCCCTTACAAAGTAAAATAAACTAACAATAACTATAAATACCTCTACTTATCAAAGAATTGTCGTGGTGGCTCCGAGGTTCGACACCTAAACGGCATGTACCAATGTGACATTTCCGAGTTATATGTACTTTCTATGATTATTTAGACACCACTGACAAACGGTGAAGGAAAACTGAGGAAACCTGGGCTTATAATTTCTAATAATAAATTTAAAATCGCCAACTCGCACTGAGCAAGCGTGGTGATTAATGCTCGAACCTTCTCCGTATGAGAAGAGGCTTTGCTCAGCAGTGGGCATTTATAGGTTGTTAATGATGATGATGATTAAAGAACAGTGCACATTAGGATGCTTGATTTCTCCTGCCTGTACCTATCATAAACTAGCTACTTCCGCGCGGTTTTACACGCTCTGCTCAGCTCCTATTGGTCGTAGCGTGATGTTTTGTTAGCCTATAGCCATCCTCGATAAATGCGCTATCCAGCACAAAAAGAATTATTCAAATCAGACTTGTAGTTACTGAGATTAGCGCGTTCAAACAAACAAACAAAAAATAAACTCTTCCGCTTTATATAATAGTATAA